AGGAAGCCACCCGAAACCTTAAGTTTTGGAAGGGATTCGTCGAGGACTCCGATTCGTTTCGTAAATCCGGGTGATCGTCACGCGACGATACGGCGGGAAACCGAGCTCGGATTCCCGAGGGGGAACAACGAGAACGCACATTTCCCTGCCGGATACACGAGGAAAGGAACACGAACACGGGAAATCGTCACCGTTGGAATTGGAATCGTTCCTTCAACGATGCTCGATCCCGCCTGACCCTCCTCGATCGCGCATTTCCTCCGTACCGGCTGCCCACGCCCCACGGATGACCAAAGGTACGATGATGACACTTTCGAGTCGTTTTTTTCGTCCCTCACACACTTTTGGAAGATCAGGAGAAGAGGGAAAGCGGGTGGCGATCTCTTTCCGATAACATATATTAAGTCATTCGCTATTTTCTCGGATACACGGAACGATCGCGTGTACCCTTCCGCGAGGGAATCGCACCTAAATCTCACGGGTCGTCGAGGGCCAGTCGCGAGATCCAACTTAAATTTCCTTTTCTCTGCCCAAACGTTCCAAGAGGCGAGACGGCGTCTTCGAGTCGCGAACGGGGTTAAGAAATCCCCGAACGAAACGGAAAGTCTCGGGGGAAGAAAATAGAGCGTCCCTACTTTAGCCGAACGACAGATTCCGACAAGAAAAAGGATTTGGAATTCGCAGGACGACACACTCTTTACGATATTTCTACGTGAGAAAGTATGAATGATGGTTTGCGCTATCGAGCGGAATTGCTTTCTCTGCGCAATGGAGTCTTCCTACGTCATAAGGGGGGGGGGGGGGAGGAAAGGGGAGGAGAGACAAGGATGGGAAGAAGCATGTTACGGAAGGCATCAAATTGAATGCGACGATAATCGGGATGTGGATGTCGGTGTCGTGAAGCCGAGTGTGTTGCGACGAGCACGAGGTGCGACGTTCCAGCAAACCCGGATCTAATCGCAATTCCGAGCACTTTCCTCCACCCTCCATCCACCATTCCTCCGTTCCTCCATCCTCCATTCGCCATTCCTCCATCCCTTGCGACTCTTGCGAGGAGTCCTTTCCTTCTTTTCCTCCCATGGAGCGTAGGACGTGGGCGAAAACGGACCTAAATGAACAAAAATGGATGAAAATGTCGTCACCCGATCCAATATCCAATAAACGTACGACGAGAAATCCTAGAATATGGGGCCGTCGTACCTTATTTTTGCCATGAGGGCCTTAGAGGGGTTTAAGGCGAAAACGAGTTCCCTTCCCGGTTTCCCCCTTCCGTGGTTCACGTGCACGGCACCCTTTCGCGATGGAATTTGGAGCCGACCGGACTCTCTTTCCGACTCTCGTTTCTCGAGATCGGTCGTATGCATACGGTTCGACGAGGTTCGCTCGAGGAGGGAAGCCCGTCCCTCGGAAACGTTGCGCAAGGAGGGAGTCCAGCTGTTTCCTTCCTCCAAATTTATTTGGAGCGATGAAGGCGAAAATCGAAACTCGATTTGCACCACCTACCGTACCGTCGACGTGCCGAAGACGACGAAGAGTCGTGTTTCCACGAGCCCAGAAACTTGGCTGGAATTTCTCGGAAACGAATGAGAAAATTTTTTCACGGTTTTCGTAAACTTTATGGGATGTTAAGGAACGCTCGGTCGCGAGATCTCTCCCCGGGGACGAATCCTTGGATGGATCCTTTCGGGGTCGTCATAGCGATGGAACCGAAACCGTGCTGCGAGATCGCTCGGGATCCGAACCCTTAATCGCCGAGTCCCTTCTTCGCCCCAAATTCCATCCTCCATCCCTTCTCGTTCCCTTCTTCCGAACCTCTACTTCATTCCTATCAGAAAGTACATTCTGTCGGGAGAGAAACGACTGCCATTTGGAAATAGTGAATCGGCTTTCCTCGCGCGACGGGCTCCCGTGCGGTGTGGCGGAATCCGTCTCGACGACGACGAGTTGCGGACGAGGACGATCTCTCCGCCGGGTGGAATTCGCTCGTCTCGGCCGATCGGGTGGAGACCCTGGGACCCTGGGACCCGGGGACCCTGGGACCCTGGGACCCTGGGACCCTGGGACCCTGGGACCCGGGGACCCGGGGACTCGGGGACCCCTCGCTCGCGTCACCGGCGAGAGTGCCGTGCCGAAGAGTCGTGACGTTCCCAAATATTCCTCAAATTTCCCGTTTCGTGTATATTTTCGACAGAGAAAACTTCCACCTCGGTTTCCCCTCGTGTTCTCGTAAAAGCATCTGCCTTTCCGACGAAACGTCCGACCCGTGTCACCGGAACGATGATTTTTTACGACTTCGGTTCCGTCGCGTTGCGGCCACCACGGCCCCAAACTTGGGATTCGGCCTTCGAAGTCACGGTTCATCGGCAGCCACAATCCAAAAATCCATCGACGAGGTACGAGAGCGGACGGAGAATTCGCGCGGACGACGAAGGGAAGCTAAGAAATGGGGGGACGGGGGACTGGGGGGACGGGGACTGGGGGGACGGAGACTGGGGGGACGGAGACTGGGGGGACGGGAGACGGGGACGGTCGTATTCATCCCTTCTGAGGTTACATATGATATATGAAACACTGAATGGAAAATGGTCTATCGATGACAAATAAATAATTTCTCCAGCTCCGGAGGAAAAAAGTCATATTTAAGTGATGGTCTTTTCGAAAAGCAAGGGCTTTAAAGTAGTACGTGTACGAGGTGGGCCATGTGTATCGGGATCTTGGACTCTCATTCACCTGATACGTGTACATGCTCCAAACGACATGGGACTCACGACCCACCCTGAAGATGAGCCAGTTTCTCAATTTCGTAAAACCCTCGAACGACCATCTTCAACGAATGAAAATTGGTTCTCTGCGTGTAAGATCGATCGTCGACCATCTCGGAAATTTTTCACAATTTCCATTTTTCCAATCGACCATCAAGAAAGGGAATAAATACAGTAGAAACCGGATGAGTGCACATCGCGTAAATGCAGGAATCGGACGACTGCACGAATTTTCCATGCCCTCAATTTTCCCTCTATGTTTTGTACACGATCTAAACCCGGACGAGTGCACAAACCGCACGAGTGCACACGTTTTGTAAGTCCGGTGTGCAACTTTGGTATGGAATCGTATCCAGATGGGTGCACGAGGAGATGGCCCGGCCCAAAACTCACTCGAGAGTCCATATGGCAATGAACTCGGATACCGCGGATTTGTTTGTCGGCCTATGCCCCAGGCAGGCCATGCCGATGGCCTAGTCTATAGGCCTGCCGAGGCCCGGGGCATATCGTCCCCCCCCTTCCCCCCTCTCTATGTGGGCTTGGTATTCGGCACTTCTTCACCTTTCCTTTGGGAAACTCACTTAGATCCTCCCAAGTGAACTCCTAGTTACGAGACCGTGCATCCCCTAGTCGCGAGACCTTGCATCCCCTAGTCGCGAGACCTTGCATCCCCTAGTCGCGAGACCGTGCATCCGAGACGAGAGCGAGGGCGAGTGGTCGGAGGGTCGAGGCCACTCCTGAAAAAAAAATCTCTCGGGCCGCTGCCGAGAATCGAAAGGAGGAAAAAAAAAAAGGAGGATCACCGATCTGGAATTTCCTTTCCCTCTTCCTGCGAACTCCCTTGGCCGTACGACATGAGGAAGCGAGGAGCGTGCCCAGATCCCATCCCTTCGCCTCTCGGCACCCGCTCCAAATCGCAGTCGCAGGTGTCGAGGAAGGAAGGAGCGGGAGGAAAGCCGAGTCCCGGTACTAAATCGACAGCGTAACGAGTCGCTTCACGGGTGCTTCTTACGGCCATAACAGCTATTTTATCTCTGATGTATTTATTGAAATTTTACCCGATACGACTAGGCCGTGGTTTAAATGAAAAATGCCTGCATTAGATATCGGATCGCGAGAGTGAAGGTATCGTTTGGTGCAAATTTCACGGTTTACTTTGCTGCGCGAAGGGATGATGGAAAACGTAAGACAGACGACGCACCGGAAAAGAGCCGAGTTACTCCACTCCACTCGAGCTCGTCACCATGCATCAAGGCGCATGGGAGTGAAACCCGGCAGAAAATGCGGAAAACTCCTTTTCGAGGCTCTCTGGCATCGGCTCGGGGAAGAGCGCGAGGCATGCCTTGTATATCGATTTTACTCGCACACGTATGAAGAAGCATTTAAAAAGCGTGAAAATCCTGCTGCTCGAGCGCGTTCGAGAAGGGGTGGGACGATAACGTCTGTGAAGTCCGTAGAGGTTCCGTTTCGTCGCTGCGACGGATGTGGATCTCGTTCCGTCTCCGTCCTTTGCGACCGACGAGTGTACGTAGATGTCTTTGGAGAGGCCTTCGCTGCCTCGAGACTTACGAGTGCTTCCGCCTTCTCGGTGAAGTCTCGCACGTGGGAACGAATAGCGCGATCGGTTGGGTCCCGGCGTGGAGGTCCCCAGGCATATCGCCCGGGCAAGTTACCTCTTTTGCCCTCCCCCTTTCCATGCGTCTGCTATCAACTTCTTGCTCGTGCGACTTCAGTAAGATGGCGGCCGCGCCTGGAAGGGTGCAGCGCCACGCGCCATAGGGGGGGCCCTCCATTTATATACTCTCTATGTTTGCGACGGAATCCCGTGCAGTTAAATATTTTTAAACGTCATGGTATGTCCAGGACGATGACTCCGTGACGTGACACGCACATTTCCCCGATCTGTCGCCTGACTTCCTTCATGGTTTCATAGTTCCATGATTTTACCTTTCACATTTGAGTTGCTATGAGCCCTCGTACGACTTCTTTCGAAAAAATGTATATAGCCGGAGCCATGATATGCAAGTCACACCCGTTATTTTCGTTTATTCCTTTTCTTTTACTTCTTTTTTTTTCGATTTTGAGGTGGCTCGTTTTAGATTTCAGGCTGGAATGGGTTAAAAGAAATACCAAATTCATTATACAAATGGCAGCCCAAAACGCAGCAGTAGAATCGGCATAACGATGCACGATCCTAACATGGTACTGCCTCGCGAGTGGCGGAATGAAATGAAGTCGTTTTTGGATGAGAGAAGTCTTTATTGTTTGCACCAGGAAGATGCATGTACGACGAAAGATGGGAGAGCGAAAGGTTCCGTGCAGGTGCAAAAATGATAGAGTGAGTTTCTCCTCGAAACTCGAAGAGCCTCGGCCGAGCGTGGAAGGGATCGTCGGGAGGCAAGAGGAGTTCTTCATTTCAGGTTGGCCCGGATCCACGCGGCGAAGCGGGAGACCCTGGTGAAGGGGATGGAGCCGGTGCCGGAGCCGGTGTCGGACGAGCACGAGGACTCGATCCCGGTCTGGAAGAATTTCCCGTCGTATTCCGTCACCAGGGGCGAGCTGCCGCCTTCCTGAAAACAAAGCAGACAGAAGGAACTCCTTCGGCGAGATACGAGCCTCCTCTACGAGGAAAAGAAAAGGACTCGTTTCGGTCGGTTCGAATCCACTCCTTAAATTTACTTAATATTGCATCTTAAAGGAGCGTAGGTGCCGAAGCGGGTACGATCCAAACGGTTCCGAAATCGACACCTGTCTGTAACGATGACGGTCGCCGCGAATATGGCATCTGTGAGTGAGTCATCTAACCGATCGCATCCGTTATTGCTGGCACGATATCAAATGAACGATCACGATGTAAACTAAAATTTCTATACGATTTTACATTCCGACTCGAGAATGTTTTAATGGAAGCAGGTCGCAAAGGTGGTGGTAAGGATCGGTTCGTCACCGAGAAGGTAACAATTTTGGCAAATGCGAGAACCTGGATCCTCGAATTCGATACTCGTGCCGGGTTTCTCCCGAGATCGAGAAGAAGGCAGGACGACACGAGAATGAAGTTCTCACTCGGCACGATCGTCGTCCGGCTTGGCTCTCCTGGACGCAGAGGCGATGGTCCCCTGGCAGCAGGGCTCCGAGCGCTGAGCAAGACCCGAGCACGATGGCCGACACCTTCCTCAGGGAGAGATCTTAGTGGAAGAAACATGCGATCAGCAACGACGATCCGACGGATTCGTCTTCGCCGTCGCAAAGGTAAGACCGCGACGAAACGAAGGGAAGCCTTTCGGCAGGATCGAATACAAAATTTCGTCCAGGATTCGGTTCGCTCTGCCATCGAAGCGCTTCGCGATGCTCGTTCGTCGATCCGGCGATGAATCGTCGACACGGAGGCGAAACGCAGAGCCGATCGGTCCGCGAATCGAGGCTCGACGTTCCGCTCGTGGAGCTCGATTCCTTCGACCGGAATCGGAAACGGACGGAACGAAAAGGAAATCCGTGGAACGCGCCGGGAGGATGATGATTACCCCGACGATCGCGAGCGACTTCCGAGTCGAAGATGTAGTTGTTGCATCCGCCGATGTCGTCGCCGTCGGAGTCGGGAATGCAGATCGGCTGGAGGAAGTCGTCGAGGACGAACCCACCCGAGGGATAGACGATCGCGATGTCGTATCCGCCGGACGGACGATCTGAAATCGATCGTCGCCGCCGCTCCGTTCATCGCTCGGAAATACAGCCGATGGTACTCTTGGCGTGGTTTCAGACTCACTCGGGTTCCAATTTTCGTGGTAGGAGAAGGACTCGAAGAGTTTCGTCTGCCCCCGAGATCCGGGTTTCGCGCTGCCATCGCGCGTCTTCCCTGCAACTGCGTATCCACCCGAACATGCTTCGTGCCTGTCGTTTCGAAGACGAACACGATTAATCGTGCACCGGCGGAGCAGCTGGAGGCAGGGAAGACTCCCGGCATGCTCACATCGTCATCCGAAAACCCTGACAGATTATTCCCAGAAAGTCGAGTTCGACGTTTCGTATTTCGACCCTCTAACGTTGGAATTCACGAGGTCGATGATTTTTGCCTCTTAAGATGAGGCCCCTTTTGCACAAAGCCCTAAGGAACGAGTCGGTAATTGCACGCGAAGGATGATGGCGAATGCACGATCGTCGTCGAGACTCGATCGTAGCCTAGCGCTTCGTTCCACCGAGCGCGAATTCTAATTTAGAAAAAAAAAGTGAAACCAACCGATCGACGAGGCAGTGAGCAGCGGTGAGGACGTTGCCTTCGTTGATGACGGTACCGGTGCACGTCCGCCAGCCGGTCGCGGGGCAAAAAACCTGCAAGAGGACGTTGAATGGGGCTTCACCTCTGTCCACCCCCGAGCTCGAGTCGGAGCGGGATTCCACGGTGGATGCTTGAAGGCGCGGGATGGGGTCCTGGGACGAGTGATACACGGCACGAGACGATCTCTGTTCCGCCTGGGAACTCCCAGAAGTGGAAAACCAGTCAAAGAGGCGCACGAACCAAGTGTAGACCCTTCGAAAGGCGCTCCTGACTCCCGTCGCCGTCCCAGATTGGTAGTAGCCGTAGCCGTATCCGTAGCCGCCGCCGTAGCCGCCGCCACCACCACCGAGGCGGCGTTCCTCCGCTTCGATCTCGTAGTCGTGGAATCGATCGATCCAGTTTTCATCACGAGAGACGTGGCCGGCCTTGGATCCACAAGTCATCGACGTATCTGACAGATTCGAGAACGTGCTCATGAATGTCATGCACGCGAAATCCCTCTCGATTTCCTCGAGAGGCGACGACGAGTAGTCCACGGCAATTCGTCGCGTGAAAACGGATTAATGACTTAAAAAATGGAAAAGGGCTCGAAAAGGATTTCCATCTCTAGATGCGTGTCGGACGCATTCGTTTTCATCTCGCGATTGCGTCGAATGCTCGCGAGGGCTCGACCACATCGCGGACGGAACGATCCCGGCGAGAGAATCGAAGCGAGGAAAGTTGGACATTTTGGATAGGAATCCCATCGCGCATCCGAACGGATGTAAGGAGCATCGAACGTACAAGGAGTGAAGGCGGGAGGTTCGGGACAGGCTCCGCCGAGGCCACCCGTGGGGCATCCGAGGACACCCACGAATATCACCAGCAGCTTCATGTTCTTCGCAGGGAGGATGTTCTTGCAGTGTGAACGTTCCTCTGAGCTCGGAGCTCTTCCTTCTGCGAGGATCCTCGCGCTCGTCGTCTCGAGCCACGTCGACTACTACGCCTTTTTCTTCGGGAAAGATACATCCGGGTTTCCGCGAACCGGATCGACGAGACGGAGTGTCGACCGTACGATCGTTGGCGGAGGAGAGAAGCCCGCAAGCTGTCGGATAGATTCGGTTTCGGGTCGGTGGATTCTCCGTCTCTCGACGCGCGTTCATCCGTATTTTCTTCTCACCGAGAAATAAATTATTTTTATACGCCGGTTTTCTTTCGCGATGCGTCGCATCGTCCGGTTTCGCCAAGTCAAGAGCGCAAGGAGGCGGGGTGTTAAGGAACGTGGCATCAGCTGCAACAGAAGGGACCGAAGGGCTTTCGAGAAATCACGTTGGAGCAGAGGATCTGTACGAGGATTCATATTTCACCTTTTCAAATTTTTACGAATCGACAACCTAAATCGGAAATTCCGCGAATTTCAGACATTCAAATTTTATATTTTTACGCCATGATCTGTTCAGAGTCCCGATTTAAAAAAAAGCAGTTTGCTCCTTTTAATAGGTTTTTCGTGGATGCTATACTTTTCCATTCCTGTGCAATAGCGAGATATTTGATATTTCTTCGTTTCTACTACCATTGCACCATCGTGCTGCTATGATTCTGTTCGTGTAAGAGCCGATAAGCTCTTTGGAAAACTATAATTTGTCAATAGATGGCCTCTAAAACTTAGTGCAACCTGTGTGGCACCAGAAAAGTTCTTGCTTTTTTCGAGGGAGAAGGGAGAGGAGGGGGATGAGGAGGAGGGGAATGAAGAGGGAGAGGGGGAGGGGAAAGAGGAGGGAGGGGGAGGAGGGAGAGGAGGAGGAATTGAAAAGGTAGATCGGAGGAAGGCGAAGCTGGATCGTGTGGAGGCTTATCTCTGATACGGTGCTCCCAAAAGTCCCATCCGGGAACGGTTTCATCATCGTCGCACTAGAGTCGTATTCAAACGAGGAAAGAATCCGGCATTCGTCTTAGATGTGGAAATTGGAGCCAGTCAGATCGTTCTCGAAACCAAATCCTTGCTTCCCCCACCTCAAAAATAATCCTATAAGGAAGAAAATGAGTGTCGGACTCATCTGACATCACCTGGCCTCGCCCGGCCTTGCCTGGCTTTCTCCGGTTCTTGACGGTTTCGACTCGCGTTCCTCACCTCTGGCAGTTCGAAACACCGAACTCGACGGTTTTGAAGTCGGCTTTTTCGCGACTGCACGCTCGATCCCCTTTTTAATCCCCGTCGTCGGTGACGTTCGGAAGGAGACGATTTTATTTCCAATCGCGACACCTATGGGAATGAAAACGTCCCCTATGCAAAGTCCATCGCGATGGAAGAGACGGCAGTGCGTCCGTGGCTTCGTATCGGAACCGTCGTCCCCCAACGACCGTCATCGTTTCCTTCCGCGATGAACCTCGTCCCATTCCCGTCCTTTTCGCTCTTTCGACTTCCGTCTCTCGGCACCAATCGGCTCGTCGTTTTCGATCCTTACCGGCCGCAGACTCCGCACGCCGGACTCGCCGCGTCGGTGGACACCGGAAACGGCAACGTCTTGTCTCGGGAGCGAGATGCGACACGCGAGACCCGAGACCCGAGACGCAAGACGACCCGAGACCCGATCCGATCCTCGGGCACGCCGCGATCGTGGGTCCGAACGAGAATCCGTGAGCCCCGACTCGAGCCGTGCAGCTCTCGGTTCGCAAAGGATTTAGCCGAAATTCCGAGGAATCCTTCGATCCGAATCGACCGTAACGGAAGGCTTACTTAAATTTGCGAAAATCTGGAATGCATCGCGTTGCGACCGACGAACGCGACCGTCGAGACGAGCTTCGACGAGTCGCGGTGCTTTACCCGTTTCTCTTTTACTCCCGAGACCGGATTCCGATTCCATGGAATTAAATGGACGATGCTCTCGATTCCTCGAAACTTCTCGGAAGCCTCACGTCGAGGGGTCGCGATGCGTCCGTCTCCGAGAGACGGGACGGCCGACTTAAAACGTCGAGCATCCCTGCGCTTGCGATTCGTCCTCGGCAGGGGCAGAGCCGGGCACAGCGGGGCGCAGCCGATGCCGTAGGAAAATAATGTGTACCGATTTTTTTCGTCGAAAAGCGGGTCACTAACCTGAGGGTGCGACGGCGGAGAGAAGCGAAAGCTTATGACACGGGGATGGCACGCGGATGACACGCGCAGGAGGAAAGAGCACCTCCGTTTCAGCGTGCTTGGCCCGCTCGTTCGTCAGGTGAGAGCACACGCTCGTGACACGTTCGTGACGCGCTCCTCGTGTCGTCTCGCCTCGTTCCGTCGCCCCATCCAGACCGCTCCATCTTCTCGACCGAACGGGCGCGACTCGTCTCTTCTCGAAGACGATTCGTCGCCTAAGGATACGCTCGGCGAGCCCGTAGGAGATTGCATCTCGTGCTTCGTTCCGTAGCGTCTCGAAAACGAAACACTCATCGACGACGGCAATCCATCAATTTATTTTCTTTGCCTAAAAATGTCAAACATTAAGAATAAATGTTAAATATTTAAAAAGCCCATCCCCACGATTCCATTTTTAGGAATCGTGAAATCAGCGTGGAATTTCGCTCTCGATCGGACCATGCGACGATGAATGGATGGAATCCGAGTCTGAGGAGTCGCGGTCGAACTATGAGTACGGGAACGGTGGGTACCCAATGTCAGAGTTACATCGAATTTGGCACTTGCTTCGACGAAAATGTGAAGGATGTCGTCACGGCTCGGCCGAGAGATGCGCGGTTCTTCCGGTGGCCGTTAGGTGGCGCCTTCGGGGATGCCGCCGGTGTAAGGTCGACGTGACGACCTCCCTTTTGATGATCCTTTTATCTGTATAAAGTCCCCCCTATTCTCTAATTTGGACAGCCGTCGTCTCCATCGTGTGAGCAAGTATTTGGGGATCCGGGAAGCTCCGTGCGAGAAGGGCAAATGATTGATGGTATGGTTGTGCCCGGCGCGGAATCTTCTAGCACCTTCCCTCATGAACTGTCTCCTGATATCTGACACCTAACCAACGACTTCCTCGACAGGTATATTCCGTCACAATATGATGCATAGACGTAAACGTGAAACGTGGGTCGAGATAGCGGCTTTCAAATTTCTCCTCTCTTCCCCGCCCCACATCCTCACTCTCGGCCCTTACATACTGTACGTGGGCACAAGCTTTCATGCTTCTTTCCCTTTATAGTGACTTTTCGGCTCAAATTAATTTGAAAAAATGAGAGCAAAAATGTGGTAAATTTATTTCCGTAACTAATCATGGATCGTGCAGATATGTTGAAAAAAGATACCATTTTCAAGGAAATAAATATGATCAAAATCGGAATGGGACTTAGGAAGCTGTTGATGAAAACGAGACCATTTTCGCTGGGATCGGGTCGGCCACCGATGAGAATAATCACATCGAGGAAAGCGTTACTGGCACGAATTTTAGTCATACGGAAGAGATTCTCGACGAGACCTTCGGAGGCGAAGGCCTGTAAAAAGAAAAGCGCGATGCGAGTGCCTATGTTTCTTCGCCGTATCGAACGAGCCGAAACGACCAAAAAAAAAAATCTTCTACACGAGTTTAACGGCGAGGAAAAAGTGGGGAAGAGACGAGCCTCGCGTCTCGGGATGACGAGCTTTCAAACGACGAGGTTCCACATAAGGGAGGTGCAACAAGAGGCCAGGAGAGTCAACGTTCCAAACGAGATCTTCCTTTCCCTCCGAGGTTTTCTCGCGAGGAGTCGTATATCTCTTTTTCCTCGCATTTTTTGAGGGAGGGGTTTCACATCGAGAGCTTAAAAGGCACGAAATCGGACCTTTCCCGATGGAATCTTGAACTCGTGGCGTTCGAAAGAGCCCGATACGAGAGGGAAGCGGTCGGAAGCGGTCGGAAGCGGTCGCAAGCAGTCCTGCTCCGTGACCGCAATGGAACAGAAGGAGGCAACGAAATCGCTCGGGATCAAATCCCATTTCCGCGGCTATTTTCCTCCGTTCGACTTCACTCGTCGTGTAAGAGAACTTTCCAACGTCGGGAAAATGGCTCACTTTTAGAATTCCACGAGTCCCCTTCCTTTCGTCATGGATTTCGTTATCCTGAAGCTCTCTCTGTTTTTGGTCTACATAAACGATTTGGATCTCGGCGTAGAGGGTATGATGAGTAAATTTGCCGACGACACCAATATAGGT